TATTTTACCTTCAAACAGACATTATGTATTATCAAACAGTATTATGTAGGTGCAGGTGATTTTCCATTGCTTTCCACAGGGAGACTAATATGAGTTATGCCTTTAACGCATAATTCATATAAGGCCTTTCGCCGTGTATGAATTATGTTTATTAAGATCTCTATTTTGTATAAATATGGCAATATCAAACATCTTTAATGAGCATATAACAAAACTGTCATCGTTAACATCACCGGAAAAATAGAGAAAAAATATTTTTTCTTTACAGCTTGATATATTTACAGGCTGTTAAATGTACAGTAAGTAAATTATCTTTAAAACACACACAGACAGACACACACATACACACATGTGATCAACCATTGAAAAGTGGGATTTACATGTCCGATGATCAAACCTGTCACACTTCGCTATTGAATGTGACCCCCAGCCTTTTCCTCCACCCCTCCTCAGCTTGTGACTTACGTGAGGAGGCTTATGATCTGAAATTTACTTTGGATGTCCTGGGTAAAGGAACGTCCTCTGTTTTGATTGACTGTGGTTAAGCCACCTAATTGTAGGGGTAGCACACATATCAGTTTTTCTCATTTACTTTACTGACTCTATTGAAGTTACTCTAACTTGACATCGGGACTGGCGACCCTAAAATAAGAAAAAGTGTGTGTTCCGAATAGAGAGTCACCAGCTTGGGCTGATGGCGCTCTGTCCTAAAAAAGTGTGCGCTCGTACACTCAGCCGCCGATTTGGCTAAATAAATTTTGTTCTCCTCGCCGGCTGAGCATCCGAGTAGGGTCCGGCCACCGAGCCCATGCATGATACTATGACTTCCAAGATAAAACCACTTCGCAATCGAATTCTGTACGTCGATGCGCATGACGTCACTTGGTAATAAAAATCTATCTTTAATTTATTATTCTGAAACATATATTATCTAAAAGTGCACACATCTATTTGTCAACGTACTATATAAACGATAAAACAATACTAACAAAAACTCCATGCAAAACAGAACATTTCTGGTAATATTTGTCGCCAAGTGACGTCACACTTGCAAAAGAGATATACTGATCGCGTGCGCGTGGGTTTATCTTTAGAAGTTCATAGTATCATGGAGCCCATGTATGCCGCACATGATCTCGGTGCTCGTAATTCGCGATAGGATCAGCATACGATCTGTCTGAGGGGCCTGTGCCTGACGGCTGGTATAAAAAAGACTCATTATCTAGTTGCTTCTTCTCTTTGTCTGGTGTTTTGGTGTCCTGTTTTCACCTCCTCAGGACTTTTTTTTGTTGGCTGATATTTTTTCTTTCGCTGGCTTCGTGGATTCCACTGGTGGTTTGTTCTTGGACCTGTCATCGGAGGAGCGTACTGGACAATCAGATGCGAAAGTGGTATTGATTAACGGTCCTTTTGAGAAGTTATTGTTCTAAAAAAAATTATGGATATGTGAATATATATGTTTACAATTGATAATAATAATAAATGTGTTGAATCGCGATTCGCGTGAGGGCAGCTGTGGCTGTATCCTCTGTGTAGATAGGTTTCATTGTGCAATGGGACCTGGAAACCACAGTAAACCGTTCTTTCCCCATTTATGTAGCATGTATACACATCTGCCATGTCTGGTTTGGATCCTATTTAGAGTGGACCATGTTTTGCGTGGAAGATCAAAACCTGGTGGCTTGTCGGTAATACAGGGCATGTTATTTGGCATGAGTTCCATTCTTGGGACCATGCATTCGTGATGTTGAACTCCTTATGTATCATTCTTGCCGTTTTCATTGGTGGTTTTCTATAACGGAGACGGGTATTTCGTGTATCCTCGGTATCTTGGTGGATCCGCAGGTTTTATTGTTCATTATCTTTTTGTATTCACGTGTAAGTGCGTCAACTCGTCGTAAATGTGGAGGTGGGATGTGACTTAATACTGGAAGCCATTGGATGTGAGTTGATTTAATTGTACCAGCTATCATCCTCATAGTGCTATGCGTTGAGTGTCGACCTTTTTTACGTGTGGACTGTGTAGCCAAACTGGAGAACAATATTCAGCGGTCGAGAAAAACAATGGGCTAAGGTAGTAGAGCGGAGAGTGGAAGCCGATGCTCCCCAGGTGGTACCGCAGAGCTTCTGTATAATGTTATTTCTTGTACTCAACTTTTGGACAGTTTTTGTTAAATGCTCTTTAAATGATAGCGTTCTGTCTAGTGTTACGCCCAGGTACTTCAGTGTTTTGTTGTGGATAAGTGTAGTATTTTCAAACCGTATGTTGAGTTCCTTTCCAGCAAGTTTATTGTTCAGGTGAAAGCAGTATCGTTTGATTCATTGTTAAGTCGCATGCGAAATTTGCCAATGTTACAAGTCTGCCGTCAGAACTTCTTCAGACGTTTCTAGTGTTCTGCATCGTGTAGTGAGGGCACAGTCATCGGCGTATCCGAACTTTCTTGATTGTGTTTCCGACATATCTGCTAAGTATAAGCTAAATAGTAGTGGAGAGAGCACTGACTCCTGTGGTAGACCATTCTCAAGTTTCTTTGGTGGCTGATATCTGTGACAATCACTACCTGAAACATTCGGTCGTTGAGCATGCAATCTATTAGGCGTGCTATTGGTTTACAGGGAATTGCACGGAGAATTTTGTATATAAGGCCCTCTCTCCATACTGTATCGTAAGCTGCCGAAAGGTCAATAAATGCCACTGAAGTTTTAAGTCTTCTTTGGAAACCCGTCTTCGATGTAGGTGGTGAGTGACAGTACCTGGTCCGCGCAGCTTCGTTCTGGTCGAAAACCCGCTTGTTTGACTGGGATCACCTAGTTTTTTAGGTTGTCGGCGGATTGGCCTGGCTTTAGTATGGCTATTATCATAGAGCGCTTTCGTTCTTGTGGAATATTTCCAGTATCCATGATGTTTGTAAAAAATCGAGCCAGCGAAACTTTTGTATACTTGCCACAATTTATTAGGAACTCAGGGTGAATATTATCAAATCCAGGTGCGTTTGCTCGCTTAACGTCTTTAAGAGACCCTGATATGTATTCGCTGGTGAAGGGGAGGGAATGCTCCATTTCTGTGGCTACATGTTTTAAAGTTTTAAGTTCTCTCTTTACGTAGATGGTGTGTGCTTTATCCTTTGGTGTCCTGAATGTTTTTACTATGTGTGATGCTACGGCATCTAGCTTTGCGGCTGCCTTTCGACGTTTCGTACGGACACCACTTCCTAATTTTCTTAGTAATTACCATGCCTGTCTGCTTGATTTCTGGAAGTTTAGACTTTCTACTATTTCGGTCCACTTTTGGCTTCTAGCGGCATCTAGGCTGTACACTAGTTCGTCCACTATTTCTTGGTCGCCAGTTTCAAGGAAGCTCTGATATAGTTCCTCGCTATTTTTCGACCATCCAGGGATATATTCTTTGCGATAGCCTCTTGGTATGTTTTTTTTTGGCTACACTTAGCACGGCACCAACAAATTTGTGGTGGTTTTTGATATTAGTTGTAATCCAGCCAAGGCATTTATCTAGATCCGCAGAGAAGTCAATCCAGTTTGGCTTTTTAAAATTCCATCTTGGACGTGGGATAGAACCAATTAAAGGGATTTACGTCCCTACTTCTATTATTACTGGTCGATGTTGGCTGTGTGGGAAATTAGTTAGAACTCTTCGTGAAGCCCCTATATGTCTTTGTTGTCGGCCGAGACGACGCATAGGTCGGGGTTATATTCCCGCCTCCATGCCGCGGATCTGAAGGTTGGTCGATCTTTGGCATCAAACAAAAGTACAGGCGTTCGTCTTCTGCCCATTTTATTAAAGCAATACCATTTGCATCACTATTTTTGTACTTCCACTATTGATTGTGGATATTGTAATCTCCAACGTATACAGCAGGGTGAAGATCTACTTCAATTGCTTGGGCTGGCAGCGTAGAGGTCTGTAATGCAGGAATTCTTTTGTGACCACATTATAAATACAGTCATTAGTGGAAGTAGAGATTAGCGAAGCATTTTCAATATCTTCTTTGACATATGTGGCTGTGTCGTATGTTCGGTGGTAAGTTGCGCCTAATAGTTCATAGCACAGTATTTTGTCCCTTTTTGTAGTTGCTTCTCTGTTTTGCAGTGGGTTTCCTGTATAGCAACTAAGTCAATGTCATCTTTTAATAATTTTGATAAAAACTGGCTTTTAACATAGCTTATGCCTTCTATATAGTGCAAATTCGAACTATAAGTTCGATTGGTCTGGTTGTGCGGTCCTCACAAGGGCCGTTTATTTTGTTTATCATCTTTCGTTGGAAGTGTTGTTTAGTCAGGAGATCCTAAGGGTTGTCTGACTGCCAGTATGTGCTAGTTTATTTAGCGTTACCGAGGGTGCATGTGTAGTATTCTACTACGAACGCGAACTAGCTCTACACCCCATTATGGAGTGTGCATTTCCAAATGTATACTACTCTCAGACACCCCGTGTATATGTTTTTTGGTATTTTTTTTATTTTTTACTACATCTAAACTACTGCTATGTGTGCGTGTGTTAGGGTGTGGATTCTCAGGTGTATATTGCCCTCACACACCCCGGTGTATAAATAAAATATCTTTAAATAAAACTTTGTACATGGGGAAATACTATTTTATGTTTCGCGTCAACTGCTATGAGTAGCGCCATCTATATTTGAATAGAAGGTACTATACATTGGATAGGTGTCTATAATTATAGGTATTCAAGAGAATAGAATATGCAATCTTACATTATCTATCCTTTTTTGTTAATACGGTGACTTTAAGTGCAAGAGAGAAACCTGATGAAATCTGGGTGTTAGTTTATAGTAGAGAAAGCGGAATGATTGAAATTGCTCAACTCAATTCGTTTCTCGGGTCGGTTTTTTTTTTCTGAATGACAGGGATTGCTACTACCGAAATTAACCTAGTCGTACTAAAAATAGCTGATTGTTCATACTTATGTTAATTCTGCGGTATTTGATTTCCTTAGAACCGTTTTTAAGGTTATTATTTGTTATTATCTAATAAATGAAACAGTGACACAAAGTGGGTTTATACATTTAAGTTCAAAATAAATCCTGTGGTGAATTTGACGTGAGGATAAAATTACGGAAAACGGTAGCTCCAGAAATAAATATTTGAAAGTATTTGGTGTAATTTACGATACAAACAATGTCGTATCCTCCTCCAAACCAACAGCAAGGTGCTTACCCAACACCTTATAATAGTAAGAGTTTTAATAATATTTTAAATAAATATATTATCTTAAGTTTTTAGTTTGTAAATAAAAACAATAACTGCTGTAGTCAATTGTTATTAACGATCGTTCAGCTTATTTTTATTTTTGTTTGTATCGTGACACACTTTTTGTTTCTTTTTTAGGCAATTATCCTCCTGCACCTGCTCCAGGTTATCAAACGCCTAATGCTCCAGGCTATGCACCAGTTCCACAAGGTTACGGCCCACCCCCTCCTCAAGGTTATCAACCACCCCCAGGTCAATACCCTCCAGGACCTGGATATGGCGCCCCGATCACGAATCAGCCGATGGGGCCAGCTGGTAAGCCGCTTATATTTTTAAAAGGATTTGTTTGCGGTGCATATTTTGAATATGTTCGGGATTTTACTCCTCAGTGATTTTAAAGTCACTTATATCGCTCATTATAGGTTCCCGATTAGTTGAAAATGTGTTGTTTCGTTCCAATGATAATTATTATCTACTTGCACGATATTTTGTCTTTTTTTGTTAGACATATTTTTTTACAATGAGTTTTATGATAACCTTGTGTAAAATTGTGTAATTATATACATGGTAAAACCTATTGTGAATTTTATCATTAAGCCGATCACTAAACATTACTTACTCTTTTTATAGCAACCGCAACGAGAATATGATAAAATTAAAAATGTTTTTATTTTAATGAATTTGTCGATCATGTAGATGTGTTCATTATAAAAACAATAAGAGATGAAGAAAATATGGAACTTTATCAAATGAAGATAAATGTGAAGATGTTAGCTTAGGTCATCTATACCGTCGACCTCGCGGAATTTCTGTCTAGAATAAGCATGATGTAAATAGTTCTCGTAAATACAAGGACGATTTTGTAATTTTTTCTAAACAGGAAATCACCGCAAAATTTAATTACCTACGTTAAATATTTCGAGGGAAGTTTGGAAGCTGAGAACAAAGTTTTTTTACTTTGACCCCCTAAAACTAGCTGTTGTGTCCATTTTAAAAATAAGTCTCCTATAAAAGTAGTAGGATCCAATGTTTTCTCGCTCTTCTCAGATCATTTGTCCAGCGTTTAAATGGTGTTCTTCTGGCTTCTTTCTAAGTTCCGAATCGCCATTCCAATATCTTGTTCGTGTACCTGCCACAGTGTCTGGAACCATCGCTGCATTCATCAACATCAATCAGCCAATCGTGCCCACTGCTGGACATAGGCGTCCCTCAGTTCTTTCCAGTGTTCCCTACACTGGAGCCGCTTGTAGCCAGTTTCCCGCTACACGTTTTATCATCGTCCACTCGTGGTGGTCGTCCTCGGCTTCTTTTATAGTTTCTGGGCCTCCATTCCATAATACGTCTTGTCTATCCGTCCATCTTGTGCTCTGGCTAAGTGCCCTTACCCAGTTCCACTTAAGCGTCGTGATTCTTTCGATGACGTCTTGAACTCCTGATCTTTGCCTGATTGTAGTTGTTATGTGGTTCTCGAAGGCTCACGTTCAGCATTGCACGTTCCATGGCTCGTTGTGTAACTCTGAGTTTATTCGCAGATTTTTGCGTGAGTGTTAAAGTCTCTGCTCCATCAGTTTGTATAGGCAAAACACATCGGTTATAAACCTTTCACTTCAGACACATGGGAATTGAACTTTTTAGAATATGGCTTAATTTGCCAAATGCTGCCCATGTCAGGCCTATTCGCCTCTGTATTTCATGTGTTTGATTGTCTCTGCTTATTTTGATGTCGTGTCCCAGAGATTTGTAAGTGTCTGTTTGTAGTGTATGGTATTATTGTCAATAATTATTCAATATTTCCACTCATTACGAGATTTGTCACAAGTTTAGTTTCAATTCACATTCTGACAATAGTTTCAGTAAACCTAAGTAGATTCCATTCCGTTTTTCGCCAATTATTTCATGAGTACCTCTAAATTCCATTTCTCTGGTAGACAGAAACTTTATTACACATATAATTCTTTCTACTACTCTAACCCAATATTCCTTCGCAGTGCTAATTTCCTTTTTGAGTTCTACATCAACTCTTCCTTGCTTTAATAAGCGAGTCATAGAAATTTTCAGATTAACATGATGATTGGATCTTTCATGCTTGTCAAACATTTCCTTATTTTTATTATAATAATAGTAACGGATTGATTACGGCTGTCGCCGCTTCTCCGCATGCAATTTCCATCTTTTTCTGTCATGCAGTTGCCTCTTCTAAGTCTCTTGCCGCCATTGCTTCATCAATATCGTTGCGCCAACTTCTCTGTGGTCGTCCTCTCTTTCTTCTTTCAGGAAGGATCTATTTCGGTACTACTCTTCTAGAACATCTGTACTATGGCATTCTTTTAACATGTCCAAACCAAATTAATTGTTTTCTTTCTACGTCATCATTGATATTTCGCTCCATTTTAATTTCGTTTCTTATTTGTTCGTTTCTAACTTTCTCCAGTTTCGATCTATCGCAGCTTCGTCTCAGATAATCCATTTCTGTCGTCATAAGTTTGTTTCTATTAGCTTTAATGACGTCCCATACTTCCGAACCGTAAAGTGTAATACTTTGGACTATACTAGCATACAATGTGTTTTTTGGTTTCTCGTCGAATTGTTTTTTGCCAGAGAAGAGAGTTTAAGGCACGGGTCGCTGCTCTGCCCTTGTTTATTCTTTCCCTGATTTCATCAAATGACCCCCAAATATTTGCAGGATTGCACGCCTTTGATTTTGTCGTCTTCCAAGACTAGGTCACATATTTCATCTGTTCCCACTGAGAGATATTCACATTTTGTCATATTCATGTTTAGACCTGCCACCTCATATTCTTCTTGCAGTTTTCTTACCATACAACTAAGATCGTAGCAGTCTTCGGTAATTACTACCTGGTCATCCGCAAAGAAAAGTGTATATAGCGTGTTTTCTTCCACCGTTATTCCCATGTTTCTACATTTTTTTACCCATTTCACTAAGGATCTGTCCAAATAGATTTTAAATAAGGTGGGTGACAGACAGCAGCCTTGTCTTAGCCCTTTGTTGTTTGAAAAGGAGAGGTGATTTCTTGTCCCATTTTAATTCTTGCAAAATTTTGTTCGTAGTACTTTTGAGTGGCGTTAATAAGAATTGGGTTTATTTTCAAGTTACCCATTTCTATTCATAGTTGAGAGATCGGCACAATGTCATATGCTTTTTCCAAATCTATTAAAGCTATATGGGTTTTTCTATTTCTCTGCACTCGTTTTTCCATTGCAATTTTTAATGTGAAAATATTATCCATAGTGGAGCGTCCGACCCTAAATCCCGCTTGTTCTTCGAGTTGTTTGTCTTTAATATCATTTTCTATCAGGTTTCGTAGTACTTTTGAGCATAGTCCGCCTAAAGTAGCAATTTCAAACAGTTTTGATGATCCCGTATTCTACCCCTGCTTTTTAACGTTTACTCCGAAAGAATTTTCAGAAAAGCACTTTCTGAAAAACAAGAAGGAATACTTGTGAACGGCGAAGTCATCAATAATTTGCGATATGCGGACGATACAGTACTCCTAGCTTCTAGTCAAGAAGATCTGCAAACACTACTTGATAGTGTCGTTGAGAGTTGTAGAGAGGCAGGTCTGGATCTTAACATAAGGAAAACCAAAATACTTGTAATAAGTAAACAACAGAATATAAAACCGTCTATATATGTAAATAATACCAAACTTGAGCAAGTTGATAAAATCGTCTACCTTGGACAGCAATTAAATTGTAATGCAGAAAATCACGGCGAAATTAGATCCAGAATAGAGCAGGCTAGAGCTGCTTTTAGAAGGATGTCCAAGGTGTTATGTAACAGAGACCTAAAATTGGCATTAAGGATCCGCCTACTTCGCTGCTACGTGTTCTCGGTCTTAGTTTATGCTGTCGAGTCCTGGACTGTGAATAAAATCGATCTAAATCGCCTTGAGGCTTTCGAAATGTGGTGCTATAGAAGAATTTTAAAAGTTTCCTGGGTGGAGAAGATTCGTAACTGCACAATACTTGAACGTCTCAGCAAGACTACTGAGATCATAAAAAGCATCAAGCAGAGAAAGCTGGAATATTTAGGACATGTAATGAGAGGTCCCAAATATAGATTGCTACAAAATATCATGCAAGGAAAAATAGCAGGCAAACGCAGTCCAGGACGAAGAAGAATCTCATGGTTGAAGAACTTGCAAGATTGGTATGGTGTAGATACAAGCATGCTATTTAGGGTGGCAGTGAATAAAATTAAAATAGCTATGATGGTAACCAACGTTCTGAAAGGACATGGTACATGAAGAAGAAGAATATAGTTTGGGAACAGCACGCACTTCACGCGTACCGCCTGGGAACCTTCAACCGCCTGGTGCTACAGCCCCGAAAAGAGCCCTGGTTAAACCAGCGCTGGCTACGTGTAGCGTACGAGATAAAAAGTCCATAGAGTTCAAGTACGGTGACCCTGTAGGCGAAAATTGGGGTCCAACTCGAGCCATTCAGTTTTCTCTAATATTTATGTTATAAAAAAATCTCTAGCCCCTGCAGCAAAACAAACAGATGCCTTATCAGGATTAAACCATAAAGCTTATGCATAACTATATAACCATAAGTGTTGTCTAACATTTAATGCGACAATATCCGGTAATTTATTTCAGTTAAATAATCTTCAACCATACCTCCCACAAATTCACTGAAAATGTTATTATCTCCTTTCATGAACAGAGACAGAGTAAGGATTTCCTTCTTGGGAATTAAAAAAATTGTCTAGAATGGCACTTTAATTTCACAATTAGATGTGTGAGCTATTTTTATTGCACGAGTTCACTTAATATTGCTTTTTCTGGCTATTATTACAAAATTAAGAATACTGCATTTTATGTTTAAAGTTCTAAACAGACAGAAATGTAAATCTAACGAAAATAATTGACAATGAGAAATTTTATTTCCACTGGAAATTTTTATAATTTCGAAAAAACACCACCTTAAAAATGTACCATAAGTGTGAAGCTATTTTGCTTCTGAATCGTTTATTAGTTTTCGATGATTTCTTTTTAAATTATAGGTCTATTTCGAAGGAATTAGGGTATCTATGTTTTCTCGGAAATGTCTACGTTTTACGCATATACGAGGTGTAAAATTAAAATTTTGATTTTTTATCTTATTTTTCAACACGCATTGTCTTTAATACATTAATACATCTTATTAATATTCGGAGATAGCTTCATCTTTTCCTAACACTTTCGTAAGACAATCAGCTCGATATTGTATGAAAATACCTGGAAAAAATTGACAAGACAGTTTTAGAAAATATTGTATACAATTTCATAGGTTCTGTTGCTATGTGTATG